TAAAAATTTTTTATGAAAAGTGAATTTGCCGGGCTCGGTGGCTCAGCCTGTAATCCCAGCGCTTTGGGAGGTTGAGGTGAGTGGATTGCCTGAGCCCGCGGGTTTGAGACCTGCCTGGGCAACTTGGTGAGACCTCATCTCTACAGTAAAATAAAAAATTAGCCAGGTGTGGTAGCGTACACCAGTAGTTTCAGCTGCTTGGAAGGCTGAGGCAGAAGGATCACCGGAACCCAGCAAGTTGAGGCTGTGGTGACTGGGAGCGTGTCACTGCCCTCCAGCCTGGGTGACTGAGTGAGACTCCAACTCAAAAAAAAAGCAAATTTAGGCCGGGTGCCATGGCTCACACCTATAATCCCAGCACTTTGGGAAGCCCAGGTGAGAGGATTGCCTGAGCCCATGGGTTCAAGACCAGTCTGTGCAACTTGGTGAGAGACCTCATCTCTAAAATAAATCACAAAATTAACCGGGCATGGTGGCACGTGCTTGTAGTTCCAGCTACTTGGAAGACTGAGGCAGAAGGATCATCTGAACCCAGCAGGTTGAGCCATGCTGGCTGTGAGCGTACCACTGTCCTCCAGCCTGGGTGACAGAGTGAGACTCTAACTAAAAAAAAAAAAAAATCATCAAGCAAAATGGGCCATGTATGGTTGAACAGTAAGAGTATATTTTGAGTAAAAGGATTATGATTAATTCTGCCCTTGAGGTTTAATGGGAAAAACTGTTACTAAGAGGGGACTTTAGTGCTTGTCTTGAGTTTGAACTTTTGACTCCAACAACCGACTAATTATGTGAACTTGTACAAATAACATCTGTTTCTCTTGCCCCATCTGTAAAATACAAATAATAATACCTACTTCATAGAACTATTTATGTATTAAATGGGTCTGCATGTGTGCCTGGAATGGAGTGAGCTCAATGAGTGAGTCTTTACCATTTGTTTCAATTGCCTAATGCTATTTAATAAACCACCTTAAAACTTGGTGAGTTAAAAGAGCCATTTTATTTATTTCTCACTTTGTGGGCTGATGGGCTGAGTTGGACAGTTCTTCTGGTGGTCTCACTTGTGGTCTGTTATGTAGCTAGAAGATACGTAGTGCTTTGGATGTTATGGCTAGAAATCTGGGCTCAGCTAAAACTGAATCTCTCTCTGTGTGACTTTTTTGTGTGGTCTCCAGTATAGCAGCAAGATTTCAATGACCTACAAAAGTACCAAAAACCAGCCAGGCTTGGAATTGAGACATTATCAGCTGCTACATTCTATTGATAAGTTGCAGGGCCACTTAAAAGGTGTGGTTCATTGGGGGCCATGTTTAGAAACCATCTGCATTGTTATTAATGTTTCTATCTGACATGTTGCTCAAATATATACATAGTTGTCAGCTTTAGGCACTGGGAATATAGTAATGAACAAATATTTTCAAATCCCTGCTTACTTGGAGCTTATGTTCTACATAATACATACTTAAAATGTATAGTATGTTTGTTGATAATAAGGATAGTGGAGAAAAATAAAGCAGGGAAGGAGATAGAGAATTTTGGGGGTTGGGAATTGCAGTTTTAAAAATGGATGTTCACGCCGGTGCGGTGGCTCACGCCTGTAATCTTAGCACTTTGGGAGGCTGAGGTGAAAGGATTGCCTGAGCCCAGGAGTTCGAGACCAGCCTGAACAACTTGGCGAGACCTTGTCTCTACAATAAATAAATAAATAATGAACTGGGCATGGTGGCACATGCCTGTGGTTCCATCTACTTGGAAGGCTGAGGTAGATGGATTGCCTGAGCCCAGCAGGTTGAGGCTGTGGTGACTGTGAGCATGTCACTGCCCTCTGGCCTGGGCGACAGAGTGAGACTCCAAATAAAAAAAAAAAAAGAAAAAATAAAAAGAAAATGGGTGTTCGTGTAAGGCCTCATTGACAAACTGACATTTGAGCAAAGATGAAAGGAGAAAGCTAAGAAGTAGAGGGCAAAAGTGGAAGCAAAAAACTTTTAGGAGGTGTAATATTGTGAAATATACACTTGTATGCACATATATTCCTGTTCTTGGCATTCATCTCCTGAAATCCTTGGAATCTCCAAAATTATAAATGTCTTTTTGTATACTAATGAGTTGACTGATGGCTGGCAGCCCCTTGGTAGTTTTTGGTGGGAGCCACCAGAAGGACTGAGGCAAAATTGGAGGGTTGGGACTTAGCACCTTGAAGAGTGGCTGAAGGTTAAGTTGATCACCAACGACCAGTGGTGTCATCGGTCATGCCTATGTAATGAAGCTTCCATTAAACCCCAAAAAGACAGTGTCTGGAGAATTTCTGGATACCTGAACACATGGAGGTTCCTAGAAGGTGGAGTTCCTGGAGGGGCATAGAAGCTCTGTGCCCCTTCCCACATACCTTGCCTTAGCCATCGCTTCCATCTGGTATCATTGGTAACCTTTGTGATATTCTTTATAATAAACTGGTAAACATAAGTGAATGTTTCTCCTGAGTTCTGTGAGCCACTCTAGCAAATCAAACCCAAGGAAGAAGTCGTGGGATTTCTGATTTATAGCTGGTCAGTCAAAAGCACAGGTAGTCGAAACTTGGAGCTTTCAATTAGCATCAGAAGTTTGGTGGGCAGTCTTGTGGTATTCTTAGCCTGTGGGATATTCTATTCTCCAAGAAGAATTAGAGGACACCTCAGCTGGTGTCTGCTGCAGAATGGATTGGTTGCTATTGTGAGAGATTCCCACATTTCTTGGTGACTAGAGGTCGCAGAAGTATTCTGTGCTGATTGTTTAGTAGAGGAGAAACTGTTTGTTATTCCTATATTTTCTGAGGAGGCTGATGTAATGAATATATGGTGGCTTGGATTTGTGTAATAATCATATAAGTATTGAGAAATGGTTAGATTTTGTCAATATTTTGAAGATACAACTTCAGAATTTATTTATGGACCGAGTAGAGAATAAGAGAAGGGCATCAAGGATGGCTTCAGGTTTATTGACTCCAGCAACCGGAAGGATGAAGTTGACATTTACAGAGCAGGTTTGGGGAGATCAGGACTAGTTTTTTTTTTGAGTTGGAGTCTCACTCTGTTGCCCAGGCTGGAGTGCAGTGGCTGCTCCCAGCCACCGCAGCCTCGATCTGCTGGGCTCCGGCGATCCTTCCGCCTCAGCCTTCTGAGTAGCCGGAATTACAGGCACGCGCTGCCATGCCCAGCTGATTTTTTTTTTTCTGATTTATTGTAGAGATGAGGTCTCGCTGCCCAGGCGGGTCTCGAACCCGCGGGCTCAGGCAATCCACTCACCTCAGCCTCCCAAGGCGCGGGATTACAGGCTGAGCCACCGAGCCCAGCTTGTTTTTTTTTTGAGTTGGAGTCTCACTCTGTCGCCCAGACTGGAGTGTAGTGGCCGCTCCCGGCCACCGCAGCCTCGACCTGCTGGGCTCCAGCGATCCTTCTGCCTCAGCCTTCCAAGTAGCCGGAATTACAGGCGCACACTACCACGCCCGGCTAATTTTTTGATTTATTGTAGAGATGAGGTCTCGCTTGCCCAGGTGGGTCTCAAACCCGCGGGCTCAGGCAATCCACTCACCTCAGCCTCCCAAAGGTGCGGGATTACAGGCTGAGCCACCGAGCCCAGCTCGACTTCCTATTTCTTAACAAAGGTAGATGATGGGACAGGGAGGAATTTATATTTTGTTATGGCTAATCTTTCTTAGAAAGGTGAGGGATCTTGTTAGCATTAGCTAGTGTATTGTTTTTCTTTCACCCCTTTCTGATGCGGAAGGGTCGCCTGAGCCCAGCAGGTCAAGGCTGCAGTGGCTGTGAGTGTGCCACTGCACTCCAGCCTGAACCACAAAGCAAGACTCCGACCCAAAAAAAAAAAAAGGCATGAGTAAAGGTAAAATCAAGCAAGTTTATTTTTATTTTATTTTATTTTATTTTATTTTATTTTATTTTTGAATTGGAGTCTTACTCTGTCTCCCATGCTGGAGTACAGTGACACTCTCATGGCCACCGCACCCTCAACCTGCTGCGCTCAGGCGATCCTTCCGCCTCAGCCTTCCAAGTAGCGGGAACTGCCACACCCAGCTAATTTTTTGATTTATTGTAGAGGTGAGGTTTCACCAAGTTGCCCATGGGCTTAGGCAGTCCTTTCACCAGTGTTAGGATTATAGGCGTGAGCCACCGCACCCAGCCCAAGTTTATTTTTTAAAAATCTTATTTTTCTTCCTTCTCTATAGCTTTTTTTTAAAATTAGAAAGCAGGATTTATTGAGAGGACAGGAAAAGCTCCCACAGTTGGAGGGGACTCAAAGGGGATGACCCCCCACCCCCCTTTTTTTTTTAAAGGGGAAAAGGGGCTGGGCGCAGTGGCTCATCCTGTAATCCCAGCACTTTGGGAAGATTAGGCAAGAGAATTGCCTGAACCCCGGGGTTTGAGACTTAGCCTGGGCAACTTGGTGAGGCTGGTCCAAGGATCCAACTCCTCACCTCTACAAGAAATCACAAAAACTAGCCAGGTGTGGTGGTGTGCATCTGTAGTTCCAGCTACTTAGAAGCCTGAGGCGTAAGGATCGCCTGAGCCTAGTAGCTTGAGTCTGCGGTGGCTGTCAGTGCCATTACACTCCAGTTCTGGGCGACAAGAATGAGACTCCAACTCAAAATAATAATAATAATAATGAAACCTTACTCTGTATTTCAGTTCATGCTATGTCTTTTTCTGGATGGTATATGTCCATCTTGGCTTAAACCGTTTTGTAGATTTGTAGTTGCTATGCTCTTTTTGGGTTTGGTACATTTGAAAGCTGGTTTTTTTGTTTTTTTTTTGTTTTGAGTTGGAGTCTCACTCTGCCGCCCAGACAGGAGTGCAGTGGCCACTCCCGGCCAC